AGTATTGTGTGTTTCCAGATCCTGGAGTTGTAAGTATTACACAAATAATTTAGATGACTGGACTGGTAAACCAAGAGACTGAGCCCTCCACAGAGGGCAGGGCCAGCTGGGGGCTCTGCCTCCAACCCTGGCCCCCCAGAACCCCAGGCCTGGCCCAGAGACTGCTAGCAGGGCCCTGGATGTGAGGACAACAGCCTGTTAACAGGTATCTCTCCTTCCTTCCCTTCCTTCCTTTACCACCTGGCACCCCTGTGATGGCTGGCCCCACCACCAGATTAAAAGCCAAAACCTGTTCAGTGGCTGTGTCCCCACACAGCATGCCCCTCCCTCACCTCTTAGGCCTCATCTCCTACCCCAACCCCAAGTCTGTTCTGCACATAAGCCTCCCTGCTATTCTCTGAACACACCAGGCTGCTGCTGGTGAAAGCTTCGCTGAGACATGGGACTCTCCCCAGATATCTCCTGGGCCCCCTCCTGCCCTCCTTCATGTCTCTGCTCAGCTCTCACCTTCTCACGAGCACCTCCCTGACCACCTCTTACCACTGCAGCCCACCTCCTACTCAGCGCCAATTCCAAACATCTTCTCCTGCTTGTCTTAGTCCACTCAGACTCTATAACAAAAAGACCATAGACTGATTGGCTCAAACAGCAAACTTTGCTCTCTCATAGTTCTGGCACTGGGGGAGTCCAAAATCAAGGTGCCTACAGATTCACTGCTGGGTGAGAGCCCTTTTTCTAGTTTGCATATGGCCACCTTCTCTCTGTGTCCTCCTGTAACAGAGAGAGAAAGCTCATCTCTCTTGTCTCTCATCTTATAAGAGCACTTGTCCCCTCATGACCTAACTGCCTCCCCAAAGCCCGCCTCCAAATATCATCACACTGGGTATTAGGGATCCAACCTAAGAATTAAGGGGACACATTCAGTCCACAGCACTGCTCTTCATCTTTGTGCATAGCCTTAGCACCTTCTAACACACTATAGGATTTACTGTGTGCTGCCCCTCCTAGAATATAGTCTCCACAAAGACAGATATTTTCCTATTTAGTCGCTGATGTACCTCAGTGGCCTAGAACTGTTCTGGGCACACAGCAGGTGCTCATTAAATATTTGACAGACAGATGGATAGGTGGATTAATCATGTTTCTACAGAGAACCCTCAAAGAATTAGACCAAACTGGCTCCCGAGAGCCCCTAAAGCTCATCGAGGGGATCTTCCTCTCCCACAGGCCCTGAGCACCAGCAGCTCTCAGTCTACTCAGGTATGAGGTGCGGTAAATGGTAGGCTGGGCCTGGCCACTTACCCTCTTAAGGAATAGCAGATGCCAGGGCTCCCAGCCTGGCTCTACCCCTTACTGACCATGTTACCCTGGGCAAATCTCCCAACCTCTCTGAGCTTCAAGTCTCTGATTCACTGTAGTGCAAATAATGATCACCTCCACTTCTCAGGGTACCGTGAGGAAGACGTGAGACTGGGCATGGAAAGCACTTGATGCCATGCTACAATGATGGCAAATAGTGTTAACTGTTATTTAATCTCAGGTTTAGGCCAATGCACAGATAGTACCCACAACAGCCTGCAGGTAGCAGTGCAGATAGTAAGGCAGCTCCCAAGGGTGCTAAGCTCACTGGGAGGGGATTGGATGGGGTAAAGGAAAGCTCCTTTGCATCGTGGTGAGTGGAATTTGCACAGAGTGGATGGAGAGGCCAGAGTTTTGAGCAGGGCTGAATTCTGAAAAGGAAGGCAGGAGGGAGACCGGGCCAGCGGTCAGCGCTGGCTCTGCCACCAACAGGTGGCCTGGCTCCTCTCTCCGTGCCCCAGATATGCTCCCAAGACACATACCAGGGCTCTGCTCAGCAAGGCCTCCAAGGAAGCCTTACTACTCCGTTCCGGAAGAGTCCTCCCTCAGGACTCCCAGTGAGGGAGTCTCCTCGGCCTCATGCCCCTCCCTCCCTGACCGGCCCAGATACTCTTGCTGAGTTTGTGTCCCTGCCATATCTCTGCTCTTGGCCTGGCTGCATTTCTTCCCCATTCCTCCCTGAAGCCACACTGGCTGTTCCTGCCCTAGGGTCACCACACTTCCTGTCTCTAGGGTGCTGAGGGCATGGTTAGGCCGGACGAGGGCCTGGGAAATGTCATGTCTGAGACTGAAGGAGCACTTTACTTCCCAGAGACCTCTGCCCCCACCTCCCTCTCTCAGATCTTGGCAAGGTGCCGCCACAGAAGGCTTGTAATGTGCCTGAGTGGTAGCAGAAAGGGAGGGGGCTGTGGCCTCCTCTGTTTTGGACAAGTTCCCCAAGCTTCCATGGTCCAGGGGTCGCTGAAGCAGCCTTGCTGTTAGAAAGGCCAGGCCTGGCCTGCCCAGAGGATACTCTGAGCCGTCAGATTCTCCAGCAGAGTGAAGGCACTTAGTCTGGCCTCCTTTCTGCCTGTCACATACTTTTCCTGGAGGCCTCATCCCAGTACTGTGAACAGCCTCACATCCATTTGTTGTCTTATGGCTGATAAAGAGGTTTCCCATCAGTCCTTCTGTTCATCCCCCAGTAATCAGGACAGAAATTATCTGGCCCTAGACACAGTGAAACCGGAGGGTGGAGTGGCTTGTCCACAGCCTCGCAGCTGACAACCAGGAAAGAAGCATCGGAGTTCAGCATTCTCCCCTTTTCCATCCCACATCCCCAAATGCCCCAGACCTTGTAGATTAGACAGCTGGGCTGGTTCCATTTCCACCCTGCCTGAGCTCTGCTACCCACAGCATGGGATAGAGCATGCAGCCAGCTGGCAGGGAGGTTGGAGGGTCTGGGCAGGCTGTCCCCACACCCACCGAGAAGCACCAATCACATGGCCCAGCCTGGGTGCATGGGTGGCAGATGTGCTCAGGCATGGAAACAGAAGCCAGAGAAACCTGGGCCTGGCAGAGTAGTGGGCTGGCCTTGCTTGGAGCAAATGTCACAGGGGATGCCTCTGGATCCAAAAGTCCAGCCTTTCAGAGGCAAGATGGCACCACAGTCTCTGAGAGGACAGCTCGAGGCTGTCCACAGTCATCCCACTGGCATTCAGGAGTGTGGTGTGGCTACCAGAAATGGTGATTCCTTCACTATGCTTAACTGGGAAAAGCATAGAACAGGGGGACCTCGGCCTCTCCTTCCCCTACCTGAAGGGAAGAGGTGGAGGAGCAGGAACGTCCCAAGTGTGGGAACCTGAGATGAATGGTTGGGTCCCCTTGCTGGATGCCCCCAGGCGGAGGCATTTAGTTCAGGGGGAGGAGAATGCTCAGAAGGCAGAGCAGCTTGGGAAAGAAAGTGCCTGTTAGAGGGCTGAGCAGAGCTGAAGGCCCTGGGATGACTCACAGAAAGGGCTGGCCTTCAAAGTCTCTTTGGACTGAAGGACTCCAGGGTCCTTTCTGAGCCCTGTCCAAGGTCCCTTTGGCCTGTGAGGGCCTGAGCTGGCTGGTGTCCCCTAGCTGAGCCTGTGGACCCCAGATGAGCTCCCTGTTTGGTTCCCCTACACTCTCTCTGTTCTTAGACACAGGAGCCACTGCACTCCTCAAGGAAGGTGCTGGGGTTGGGGTGCAGGGGGAAAGGCCTGCTTTATTCCCTTGTGTGCTTCTGAAGAGGTTTGTGGCCTCCTGGGCCATCTCCCACACACTGGAAGTCGGGAATTCCATTCCCCTTCCTGATGTATATCCTGACCTCCTTGGCCGTCCAGCTTCTTGCTCCTCAGCTCCTTCACCTACCATTCAAAGTCCTTTATGAAGGAGCTGGAATCTTTAAATTTGTTTTAATTGAAGAACAATAGACATGCATACAGAAAGATGCACTGAGGAGCCTGGGCTCTGATACCCAGGCCTGATGTGCATTTTAGAAAGATCACTCTTTCCTTCCACTAGAGGTGAGAAGGGGGACCAGTTAGGAGGCTGACCCAGTTGTCTAGGTGACAGAAGATGGTGGCCCAAACCAGGGCAGGTGTGATGGGATAGGGTGAGGGACAGCCACAAGGCATGAGGGAGGTGGAATCGGCAGGACTTGATGCCTAATCAGATGCTGGGTCAAGGCTGAGGTATCAGTGAAAATGCCTGGGTTTTCTGCACAAATGCCTGCTGACTGCTGAGATGGGAACACAAGAGGAATAGGTTCTGGGGACAAGGTGAGTTTGACCATTTACTCAAGTGCCATTAAGCTATACAGGGCCCACTTATTCGGACCTATACCTACACAAAGCAATTCTGTTTCCTTGGGAGGCCAAAGCCCAGTCGAGCCCATCTTTGCTGTAACTCATAGATGCTCAGGCAGTCCACGCTGATGCCCAGGCTCATGGCCATCAGCCCCAGAGTGTTCAAGACTTGCAAGGCTCTAATAGCAAAAAGTGGAGAGTTCCTCTTTGCTGCTGTGGGGAGAATAGCCCTTCTTTGAAGAGGCTTTGAAACATAAACTGAATATGCATGGCTACAGAACATTCTGGAACATCAGTAGCATGGGGGGAACCATGCATGTCCAGGGCTGAGGGAGACCAGTTACCTAATGGATGTTAACCAGGAGCCTGACTTTGGATAAGGCCAGAGGTCCAGCTGGGGACATGGGCCTCAAAAGGAGGAGGTCCTGGGCTATTGGTAATGCTGAAATCCAGGCCAGCCATGGGGTGGTCCCAAGAAAACTAGGCTTTCAGAGCAGGGCCCAGCCCATGGTTATGGGGAACAAGGCCCAGCCCTGGGGGTAGGAGCTGTTGGAACAAACCAGCATACACACCCCAATAGGAGGACAGAGGTTGAGGTGGGGTGTCGCTGTCCTAGCTGAGAACCAGGGCCCTGTGATGAGAACAGGCACAAGTTTGGTCTTAGGGAGGAGACCAACCTACCAGAGACAGGGAGCCTGAGGCCCTCAGACCTCCCAGGCCTCACTGGATCCCAGGCACCTGGACATACAGACAATTGCATCCCCCACCAGCTGCTGGGCCCAAGGCTCCCCAGACCACCCCTCTGATCCCTCGCACCCTGGCTCCTAGGGAGGCCCCATCCAGAACCGCAAGTCCAAGCGCTGCCTGGAGCTGCAGGAGAACAACGACTCGGAGTTCGGCTTCCAGCTGGTTCTGCAGAAGTGCTCGGGCCAGCACTGGAGCATCACCAACGTGCTGAGGAGCCTGGCGTCCTGACCCCTGGAACCCCCCTACCTGCCCCCTTGCTACTGTGTAGCACCTGTGGTAATGTCGCCTGCTGTCTGGGTGGGGTGATTTGGAGTCTGGGGGAACCAGGTTAGTGGACCCCCCCAAAAGAGCTTTTTATTTCCTATTCAATTTTCATGGAGTTTATAGAAAGATGCTGAATCGTGGGTTAAGGATATAATATCATAAACTTTTTGCAACTGTAAATAGGGGACAAATGGAAAATATTTATAACTGACAATAAAATACTATTGATTAAGAAATGGTTTTTGCAGTCACTGAGTGCTCGGTGGGGATGCCTGCCTTGTTCCCATGAACTTGGAGTTCTTGCAGCCAAAGATGTGTCCCTGTTTGCCCTTCCTGCTCCTCACCTCTGAGAAAGGAGGCTTGAAGCCCCTGCCAACAGCAGAAGCGTGCTGAGCAAACTGCCAGCTTTGTTAGGCCCAGGTGACAGGAAGAGCATTGTGGTCCCAGGCATCTCCAGTGAGAAGGGTCCCACTTCCCACCCGACAGCCTGAGTGTCCTCTGGCAACAGCCTCATTCCTGGGGAAAGCAGGGTTGCTCATTGGCCACTGGAGTGTCAGCTGCTGGGCTTCAGGCTTCAGACTACACTGCCCTCTCCTGAAGTCACCTCTGTCACCTCCCAAAGTGGTCCACCACTCAGGCCCTCAGCAGTAATTTGCCTACGGCAAATGCTCCCATCTTGCTAAGACCACTCAACTCCTGCCACGAGTCATGGTGCCTTGGTTTCCTGGAGCTGCCAGAACAAATGACCACAAATTGGGAGGCTTAAACAACAGAAGCCCTTTCCCAGTTCTGGAGGCTGGGAGGCCAAAAATCAGGGTGTTGGCAGGACTGGGTCACCTGAAGTCTACAGGGAGAATCTGTCCCAGGCCTGTCTCCCCGCCTCTGGTAGCCTCACGCAGCCATTCCCTGGCTTGTAGGTGCTGTCCGCTCCCTGTGCCTTTGAGTCTCTCCTTCTGTGCATATGTTTGTCTCTGTTTTCAAATTTCCCATTTCTACAAGGACACCAGTGACAATGGATTAGGGCCACCCAATTGACCTCATTTTAACCTAATTACCTCTGTAAAGACTCTATTTCCAAACAAAGACACTCTGAGGTACTGAGGGTGAGGAACCTAGCATGTCATTTGGCGGGGACATGATCCAACCCGTAATACATGGGTCACTCGGTAATGGTTCCAAGTCACTCCTCTGTGCCCAGCCTCAGGAGACTGCATCCCTCAGAGTGGAACCATCTGTCTTGGAGCCTATTGCCCACTCCTCTGTTCCTCCAGTAGCTTCCAGCTAAATGTTTCTTGTCCTGCTCCAAAGAGGTTTTACTCAAGTTGGGGGCTCCTAGTTTCAATGTGCAAGCACCCCCACCCTATGTCCCATCCTAGCACCACATCCAGCCCTCTAGCTCATAGCAAAGCAATAATGAGTGACCAGTTATAAGCCTGAGGGAAGAGAGGAAACCCTTCTGGGACAGGTTTCAGCCCCACTCACCCCTGCAGGTTCTCAGGGACCCCTTCCTAGGGGCTTCCAGCCCCAGCAGCCACTTGATATGGATCAGTCATTTATAGTCAGAAAATGTATGAACACAGAGGAACCTCCAGCATCTATGGGACCCCAGGGGGAAAGGGCCCCCTGTCTTGGCCACCTCTGAAGAACCCCATCCAGCACAGGATGCAGCCTGGGAGGGGCCACAGGGGCTTCCTGGAGCGTTGCCACAGCTGCCCCCTCGGTGTGCACTTAATTCCCCACTACACCTCAAGGCGAGCATACCCAGACATTTGCCAGGCTGCTCGCACCAGATGGCCCCCATCAGGGAGGTCAACACAGGAAGCAGGACCCTCACGAGCAAAGAGAAATGAAAACAGCCGTAGGCACTGCCTTTGCCATGTTCTACCTCCCCCACTTCTTTCTCTACTGGCCTAAACTGTACTCAGTCCTACGCTCATTCAAATGAACATCTACCTGGAGCTATAACCGCCTCCCCTGCTTCTAAGTCACTCTCTTTTTTCTAGTCTTACTCTGCCCACCTCTTTCTTCACTTCTAAAAAACCAGTTTCTGTTCTTCCTAATCACCCACCCATCCTGCCCTGCACCAACCTGAGGAACATCAGCACCCCCTGGGAACCTGTTAAAATGCTACTTGCGAGCCCCACGTGCACCTCCTAAACCAGAAACAAGCTGGGGTTGAACAAGCCCTCCAGGTGATCCTGACTCCCTGCTCAAGTTTGAGCAGTGCTGGTGCTCAGCATGCACCTGGGTCAGCTCATCTGTGCCCTCCTTCCTGCACATGCCCAGGCCCCCTCCTTAACAACACCCGTGTGCACACCCCACCTGTGCACAACAAGCTCCACTCCCACAGCAATCTGGAGCATGGCTGTGTCCACCCCACTCCCACCTCCACTGCCCATCTGTGCCTGGGTGGGGAGCAAGGCAAGCATGGACTCTGCAGCCAGACAGCCTAAAGTCAAGTCTCAACCAGGCCATTTACTAGCGAGATGATTTGGGCAGCTACTTGCCTCTCTGTGCCTCTGTTTCCTCCCCTTAAGAAATAGGGACTGTTGTGAAAATTAAATGAGTAAATTTACGTAAAACATTTACAACAGTGACAGGTACATAGTAAGTGCTATGAATTCTTAGCTATTATTATTTCATCCACTGACATCCTGACACCCGGTTGCTGTCACAGATATCCACACCTTCACACCGATCTACACCCACACCTTGCCATGCCTGTCACCCTCCCTAGCCCCCACCTGTGCCAGTACCTTCTCCCGAGAAGCAGCTCAGTGAACAGCTCCCTCCCCTATAAGCTAAACTGGGGGCAGTTCCCTCCCAGGACACCAACGCACCATCTCCCTGAGCCCAGATCTCAGGCCCAGGCAGGGAGAAGAGGCGGGAGATGGCCGTGAGGGCCTGGCCTAGGAGTGCAGGCCATGTGGCCAGTCTCAGCTTCACTATATCTCAGAGGTATAAGGCTGAGAAGTCCAAGAGCACATATCCAAAGCAGAGGTGCTGGGTGTGTCTGTGGCAGAAACCGGAGGTGACAGCCCAAGGGAGGGAGAAAGAGAAGCGCCCCCAGCCCACACCCAGCCCCGCCCCCAATCCAGCCTCAGTTGGCTGCTCTTCTCTGCTGTTACTACAAGCTAATTAGCAGCTGGTAGGAGCTCTCTGAACATCCCGAAGTGAAATCATTATTTTTCTTAATAAATTGCACATTAAACAGCTTTGTTTCCTATTTCCACTGCCTTCCCTGATAACCAGAAAGGGCTCTTTTGGCCTAGGCCATAAAACCTCCTGGACAGCCACCCCTGCTGCCCAGCCCACAACCCAGTTCCAAACTCAGCCCCAGCCCTCACCCCAGCCCCTGCCTGTGGTCTCAGCTATTATGAGCAATGAAGGAAGAAGATGGACTCCTCAGTCCCCAGTGGAAGACAGGCACAATTGTTTGCAGAAGCCATCAGTGACCTGCCTGGACCAAGGTCACCTGCCAACAGTAACAGCCCTACAGCTGCTTCAGCCTCCTGTTCCTCTGCCTGAGGCCTTTCTCCAGCCATAAACACATGTTTGGGTCTGTGCGTGGGCAGAAGGGAAGTACGAGAGAGATGAAGGATGGGCCTCTTCACCCTTTAGGAACACAAGTGTGAGGTGTGATCTTCCAGTCTCTCAAAACACCCCCAGTGGGACTGGGTCACCATGGCCCACACTAATGAACCCTATACTGGCTGTCCTCCTCTCCTGCCTCATCCCCCATTTCATCTCTGTGTCTGCTCCAGTCACCTCCTGAATGCTTGTCTCTAGGAAGCAGCTCATGCCCACTCCTCCTGCTAAATGGCCCGCTCACATGGACACAGTGTCACCTGGACACCAGCAATACCAAAGCCACATCTTCACTGTGGACCTGTCCTCTGAGCTCTAGGCCCAAACTTCCACAGCCAACAGGCCCTGGGCCCCTGGGTGGCTGACCCTCAGACACTGCTGATCTGATGTGCATACAACAGACCCATTACTTTTCCTCCCAGGCCCACCCCAGGGACCACACCACCCTCTACCAGGTGCACAAGCCAGAGACCTCTGTTCTCTCACTCCCTGCTCCTCACCCACTATGTCTTGTCAGTACATCCTGGGCCTCTTCCTTGCTCACATGGACCTGCCTCCCCCTCATCTGCCCTCTGCACAGCAGCAGTCACAGGAGTCTTTCTGCACATAAATATGGTGAGAGCTTGTCCTGGCCTAAACCTTCAGTGGGTCTCACCAAAGATGGTAAATAACTAGCTTCAGCCTCAGAGCTTCTTCCTTCAGTGAGTCCACAGGCCAAGTGTCAGAAGCATCCAGATCAGGGGCCTTTGACACAGGCGGGCTGTGGTGAGGAGGCCTGACTTCCTGGCTGTCATGCCCACTGGGGACCTGCAGCCCCAGCCCACCCAAGGGAAGTTGGTGTCCCACATCTTCTTTGCTTTTATTCCAGAAGTTTTCTGGGTGGGGGGGGGGTGTATTGTTTGTTGGAGCTTCTGTGAAAATGCACCACAGACTGGGCGACTAAAACTATGGAAATGTGTTGTCACACAGCCCGGGAGCCCAGAAGTCCAAGGTCAGTGTAGGAGCTGTAGGATGGTGAGGGGTGTTCCAGGCACCTCTCCTTGGCTTGTAAATAGCCATCTCCTCCCTGTGTCTCTTCACATCATTTTCCCTGTGGTATCTCTGTCTCCAAATTTCTTTTTCTTATAAAGAAACCAGTTACACTAGAATAGAGTCCATCCTAATGACCTCATTTTAACTTCATTACCTGTGTAAAGAACTTGTCTCCAAACAAGGTGATATTCTGAGGTGCTGGGGGTAATGACTTCATCATCAGAATTTGGGGGACACAACCCAACCCATAACAGCAGAGGAGGGGTGGTGAGGAGCAGACCCTAGGTCCCAGAGGCTGCCTACACACCTACCCTGCCCAGCAAGTCCTCTCTAGTGGGGGCAGGCCCAGTTGTCCTGGCTTCCACGGGGTAAGGGGTGGCACTGAACAAGTGACTGGGAATTTTTATGTCTCAGAACCTGAGATGTTCATCACCACAATCCATGTCTGCAGCCTTTTTAAGAAAGATGTCCCAACCACAGCCCCAGCTGTGACTCCGTTTGTACCATGACCATGCTCTCTCCCTGCAAAGCTGATTCAACCTGG